AAAAAAAGGAAAAAAACATGGAGGAGAAAGAAAATTTTAGGATGGATGTCAGAAGAAACACTAAAAATAACACTAGAGCATTTAGAAGCCAAAACAAAGGGAAGAGATGTGGAAATAAAGGAAACGGGAGAATAGTAAACAGACTTAAATATAAAAGCTGATACCTTAAAACAGAAAATACCATAAAACATTAGAAAACAGGAGAAAATCATAGTTGGATTTGGCAAGTTCTCAATGACAAACACAAATGAGATATAAAAGAAGAAAAAGGATACATTAGACTTCATTAAAATTCAAACCTTTTGTTCCTTAAAACACAGTCAAGCTTCAAATCCACCAGAAGCTTTGCTGAAGAAGGAGGAACAATCTCCTCCTGTACCAGTCAGATCCGATTTGATGGTACACACAAGCACAAATTAAAAAAAATTTTATTTAAAAAATTATTTAAAAAACCCAAACCCCAAACCACAGTCAAGCTACAGATGACAAAAAAAAACATTTACAAGACATATATAACAAAGGACTAGGCTCAATATCAAGAAGACAAATATTCTCACCACTGGTGCCATTGGCAGCATCAGGATGAATGGTGAAGAGAATGAGATTGTTAACAGCTTTAGTTTGCTTGGCTCCATAGTCAACACTCTTGGCACCAGCAGGCAGGAAATTAAAAGACATATCACTATGGGAAAGTCCGCTGTTAGGGACCTCTCCAGGGTACTGAAGAGCAATGGTGTCACTCTGGAGACTAAGGTGTGTCTGATACAGGCTATTTTCTTTGCCATTACTTCTATGCACCAGAGAACTCGACAATGACTAGAAATGATAGAAGGACAATTGATGCCTTTGAGCTGTGGTGCTGGAGAAGAGTATTGAACATAAATATAGACTGCTAAGAAAATGAACAGGTTCATCCAGGAGAGGGTTAAACCAGGCTGCTCCTTGGAGGCAAGGATTCTGAAGCTTTGTCTGACATACTTTGGACATGTTGCAAGGAGGGACCAGTCCTTGGAGATGGACATCATGCTTGGGAGGGTGGAGGGACAATGATGGAGAGGAAAACCCTCTATGAGGTGGACTGACTCAGTGACTGGGGTAACAGAGGTGTGTGTGTCAGAGACAGTACGACTGCCACAAGATAGAGCAGGGTTTAGGGCTGTTGTACCTAGGGTTGCTATGAGTTGCAGGTGGCTCAACAGCACATAACAACAATAAACAATACCTAACATTAATGAATTTCTGTAACTCAGTAAGAGACGTAAGAAAAAGTTTAACTACTTCACTAAAGTAAATGAAAAGATGCCAAGTATAGTTGTTGTTATTGTTAGGTGCAGTTGAGTAAAGCATAACTCATAGTGATCGTTTGAAGAAAAAAATATGAACCCTGTTCTATACTGCGCCATCCTCACAGTTCTTGACACAAAAGAGTCCATTGCAGCAGTCACCTTACTAATCCACCTGGTTGAGGGTCTTCCTCTCCTTCACTGACCCTCCACTCTTCCCAACAGCATGTCCTTCTCTAAGGAATAGAACCTCCTAGCAACATGTCCGAAGTCTGTCTGGTGAAGCCTCATCATTCTTGCCTCCAAACAACAATCTGGCTACATCATCTCCAAGACATATTTGTTTGCTCTCTTGGTGATCCATGGGATGCTCAGTGCTCTTCTCCAATACCACAGCTCAAAGGCATCAATTATTTTTCTGTCATTCTTATTCATTGTCCGG